TGAAGTACTAAAGAAACTAAAGATTTAAATCTTAGTAATGAAAGCTGTGCTGATGTTTTTTGGATTGGGTTTCTATTGTGGCGTGTGTATTTGTAGTGTTGTAAATTTACTGTAATGCAATTATTGTTAAGTGATACAATTTCAAATGATTTGACATTTAAGCGAGATCGCACAGGGGGTGCACTCGCCACAACTGTATACTGTGTTTTGTTTTTCATTCATACTTTACTCTTTCGTTTGTGTGTTTTTAGGTAGTGTTGAGAAGCTACCAGAAGATGCTGAAGGTCTGTCTTATTTTCTCAGCTGTCAGTTTTTTTTCTTTGCACGCTGAAATGATCTCCTGAGTTTCAAACCCTCCTATTATGTGTCACCTCCGTCTCTCTGTTTTGTCTCTCACCTTTCAGGCACCAGTTCACCAGAGTGGATAAGCTTCCAGGAGGCCGAGTATAAATTTTTCGACCACCGCACCACTTGGGAGCAGGCCCAGAGGATTTGCTCCTGGTTTGAGTCCTCGCTCGCCTCCGTTCACTCTGCTGAGGAGGAGGCTTTCCTGGCCAACACTTTACGCAAGGCACAGTGCACTTTTTTCAAAATATTCATCAGCATTTTTAGGAGTTAATTTAACCCCACAATGCAATTGATCAACATTGTCTTGGCAAGCAAGAAGAGTCCCACTTTATCACTGCAGAACTATGACAAATACCAAACAAACAAGGACCTATGTGTGAAATTCACAGCTCATTGTGGCATCTGTGTTCTGTATAGCAAGTACAATATGTAACTACAGATCAGGATTATATAATTCCATATTTAAAGAACTGCTGTGGTGTAAATCTACAGTTTCTCTCTCACGTTCAGATGACAAGGGTGGAGGGCGACAGCTGGTGGTTGGGGCTTCATTCCTACGAAAACGACGGACGCTTCCGCTGGTCCGACCACTCTGTGCTCAATTACGTTTCCTGGGCTCTCGGGAGGCCACATCCGCTCAGCCGAGATCGCAAATGTGTCCGCCTGTCCGTGAGTAAAGGTAAGAACATCCAGAAAGGCATTAAGAGAGACTAAAACAAGTTCCCTTAATGTGAGTTTATGTTTTTCCCCCCCAAACAGCGGACTGGGGAGATCAGAAGTGCCACTCTGACCTGCCTTACATCTGTAAGAGAGTGAACGTGACGGGGACGATGCCGCCAACTCCGTCATCCCCCCACCCGCCTGCAGGATGTCCTGATGGATGGTCTTCGTATCAGCATAAGGTAAAGCTGCAACACATCAGGGCTTCAGCGTAACGCGCTGATTCTGTTACCGGTGGAGTCTGTGAAACAGCATATCAAATATTTAAGACGAGCCAGATTTATCTTCTCGCTCACGCCCTGTGCACAAGCATAAATCTGCAAGACTACAAACTTACACAGGACACACTGAAGCAGTTTTGTGCAGTTTAACGCAATTAGAATGCCATAAACCATAAAAATGAAAAATACTAAATTTGAATTTCTTCAAATACTCATTTACCAGAAATAAATAATCAAAATAAGTAAGCATGACATATAGAATAAAGTGCTTTTCATTAAAGCTTGGATTTGTTTGATAAAGTAACTTTGGTAAGTTTATGTTCCAAAACTTGTTTTCACAGTTTCTGGCACTGATAAATGCAGCAATATTGATGATTTTGTAAAGACAACAAGCCTTTTACATCCACCAGTGAGCTCTGGGGTTCAGAAGGATGCAGGATGTCCACTCTGCATCAAATATCTCAACGATATAGGTCATAAAGCTGCAACTGATTAATTGATTTACATCAATTGCAGAACCATTTGAACTTCAGTGAAAGTATTTGAGCAGTTTATAAAGAAAGAAAAGTCCAAATTCTTTGATTCCAGCTTCTTATATGTGAATACTTTCTAGTTTCTTTCCACCTCGATGACAATAAACTGAACATCTTCGGATTGTGGACAAAACACCAGTTTTTGACATTTTATAGACAAAAAAAAAAAAGATCCATTAATTAAGCAACCATGACAATAATCCAATCGCAGCTCTAATAGGCATTGAAGCATGTTAAATACAGTAAAGATAAGACGAATCTCATGTTTTATTTCCTGCTGTCTCACCACAGCTTACCTGAGCCGTGCTTGTCTGTAGTGTTTCAGAGTGTTCGACCAGTCGTACCGGCTCACATGGTCTGCAGCCAAGCTGCAATGCGAGACGCAGAGAGGTGTGCTGGCAGTGGTGTCCAATCATTTGGAACAAGGTAATTACAGCAGAACACAGCCGGCATGAAGCTAGAGGGGGTGGAGGAGGTTTCAGAACCACACGTGCACTCTGTAATTTGACTTATTCTCTTTCTGGCAGCTTTTGTCACCACCTTGCTAAACAACGCCAGCACTGACCTCTGGGTGGGTCTGACCTCGGACTCTAAAGGTCATTTCAACTGGGCCAAGGCTGGCCTGCTGAGCTACACCAACTGGGCCCCCGGAGAGCCGCTCGACAACAGCGGCCCGCACCACAACAGGACGCCGGTACCCAAAACACTCACCAA